AAAAAATGCAAATTTCATAATCAAAAGCCATTTTAAATGCGAGAAAATAAATACACATATTTTGTAACGTAAACATTAAAACAAACACATATTTGTGGCAAAAATACAAAAATCAATCTATAAATAGGATATTTCTCTTACCATTTTGTCAATGAAGAGACACAACACAACACATTTCACTTATAAGTTATAATCTAATGAATACGTAAAATACACATACATTTAACGTTACAAAACAACTTATCTAAACTAATATCTAAATCTCTTTTATCTGATCCCAAACATAGCACTCAAGTCCTAGTCGTTATGGCGGCACCAAATCCCCGACCGCAACACATAGTTTCTATATGTATCCGCCGTCACCGGGCGGTCCGGCAGGTCTCGGGACGCTCGGCTCGCCGACAACGGGCGGCCCGTTGGCCGTATCGGAGCTCTCGTCGATGATGGCACCGCCTGTGCCCGCCCAGCGGCCACCGGTCGGCAATTCCACTAAAAACTCGCAGCAAAGCTGTCAGCCATCGCTATCATCCAACATGTATTCCCAACCGTACGTCCCGCCGGTGTCGGTCGGCCTGACGGGCGGTCAATCGCCGTCGACGACGATGCAGTCGCCGGGACTGACGATAGGCGCCGGCGTACCGCAGGTGACGACTCCGCCGATGTGTTCCCGCGCCGTACAGACGGATCTGACGGTGAAGTCATTGCGCGACATGGAGGCCAAGTCGGCCCACGACGTCGAGACGAGGGACACCCGTATAGACGACTTGTGCCGCTCGGCCGACGACTCGAAACGGCAACTCCAGGCCCAACAGAAGCTGATCGACAAACAGAAGGAACAGCTGAACAAATGCATTGATGTCACCAAACAGTTACTCATCGAGAAGTCGGCGATGGAGAAGAAGGCCGCCCGACAGAAGTGTATGCAAAATAGGTTAAGATTAGGACAGTTTGTAACACAACGACAAGGTATTAGAAGTAATTATCGGATCAATTGATTTTATTTCTTTTCCCCCGAAATGTTTTTTTTTGGTTTTTAATTTCAACGCTTGTGTCTCTTCGCGCTTACTGTCACTCTTGAGTTATTATCTCTTCACGAATGGCTATCTTTTTACCACACAATCTGTGTTTATCTCATTATCTTAATGTCTGTTTGTCTGATGACTATTAGTTCCCAATAGTTGATTACTAATCCTCTAAAGCGATGAACAATCACTTGAATTATTTCTAAACTCATTTCCTCTATAGTGTACTCTTCACGTATCAAAGAGTATACACTTTATAAGCGCTCTATCATTGCTATCGCATTACTAACTATTGTTAAAACCGCTTTTCAATCCCCCAATCGATGTCAACGTTAATCACAAATATCTAAATGCTTTGTCTGTTGTTGTCTGTTACCTACAGGTGCCTCATTCGTGGAGAACTGGGTCGACGGCCACGCGTTCACAGAACTGATCCGCAAACAGGAGTCGATCGCTGCGGCGCGCGAAGAGATCGAACGGCAGCGCAAACTGTTAGGCAAAAAGCGGCCGTCGCTGACCACCGCCAAGTCGAAGACGGGCAACGGTTCGGGCACTACGACACTGGTGTCGGCCATAACCATACCGGGCGTGAGTCCGGTGACGGGCGGCAGTGGCGGCGGTTCCAACTCGAACTCCGGGCTCTCGAACGGCGACTTCTTGAAGCCGGAGTCGCCGAAAGACGTGGGCATGAATTGGTACGAGTACTACGAACAGGACGAGATACTCAAACTCAGGTCCCAAGCGCTCAAGAAGGAGGACACAGACCTACAGCTCGAGCTTGAGAAGCTGGAGCGCGAACGCAATCTACACATCCGCGAGTTGAAACGCATCCACAACGAGGACCAGTCGCGCTTCAACAATCACCCCACCCTTAATGATAGATACCTATTGTTGATATTACTGGGCAAAGGTATGTATGGGTCAGGGAGGGGGTGGTGTCGCCGCCCCCGATGATGGTTAGTGTCTGACAATTGTCTGTTTGTGATTTGCAGGTGGTTTTAGCGAAGTTCACAAAGCGTTTGACCTGAAAGACCAGCGATACGTCGCCTGTAAAATACATCAACTAAATAAGGACTGGAAGGACGACAAGAAAGCCAATTACATCAAACACGCGCTCCGGGAGTACAACATTCACAAACAGTTAGACCACCCGCGAGTGGTCCGTCTCTACGACGTGTTCGAGATCGACGCCAACAGCTTCTGCACAGTACTCGAGTACTGCGACGGACACGACCTCGACTTCTACCTGAAACAGCATAAGTCCATACCGGAGAGGGAGGCCCGCAGTATCATCATGCAAGTGGTCCACGCACTCAAGTATCTCAACGAAATCAAGCCCCCCATCATCCACTACGACCTCAAGCCCGGTCCGTACCATTAGTGTGCCTACCATTTCATTGTCTCGTATGAATGCGTGGCTAACAGACACACCTATCGCTTGTACCCCGACATCGGTGTACAGCGTAAGCTATACAAGCGTGAATTTTGTCTGTGTTTAACGCATTCATATACTGATCCCTATCTCTAATTGTCCATCACTAGTGGTGTTTTTTGATTGATTTTTGTATTGATTTGTATTTTGTTTGGTTTGTGAACGACAGGCAACATCCTATTGGGTTCGGGCGCCGTTTCGGGCGAAATCAAGATCACGGACTTTGGTCTGAGCAAAATCATGGACGACGAGAACTACTCGCCCGACCACGGCATGGACCTGACCTCACAGGGCGCCGGCACCTACTGGTACTTACCGCCCGAGTGTTTCGTTGTCGGCAAAAATCCACCAAAAATTTCATCCAAAGTTGACGTGAGTTTGCATTTAATTTTTTGGTCGTTTTATTGTTTTAATTATTGCCAGATTTTATTGAATTTTAGTATAGTTTGCGTTTTGATAGACACCTGTCCTTCAAAGCTGTGATTTATTTTACAATTTAGTCGTTTTTTGTATTGAATTTCGTTTTAATTATAGAGTTTTATTAGAAAATGAGATTGAATTTCATTATGAAATTAATTTCCTGTCAATTCATTCATAAAATTTTATTTTCAATTATTTTTTAAAACACTTTTAATTATATTAATAATTAAATACTAATGTTTCAAATGTTTTTAATTTAATTGCTATTAGGTGTGGAGCGTAGGCGTGATTTTCTATCAGTGTCTTTACGGCAAAAAAGTAAGTTTTTTATTCACTAATTGTTGACAACATTTGTATTAAATTAAACAATATATTAACGATATGTTTATCCCAATAACCCGTATAGCCGTTCGGACACAACCAATCGCAAGCGACTATTTTAGAAGAAAATACTATTTTAAAAGCAACTGATGTCGAGTTCGCGGCCAAACCTTCGGT